TCAAACCCTGATCCTCAGATCTCAGCCTTTTGATTTTTTTTTTTTTTTTTTTTGGGGTCCGGTCGTGGGGCCTGAACTCTGGGCCTGGGCGCTGTCCCTCAGCTCTTCAGCTCAAGGCTAGCGCTCTACCACTTGAGCCACAGCGCCACTTCAGGCTTTTTTCTTTTTGCTTATGTGGTGCTGAGGAATTGACCCCAGGGCCTTGAGCATACAAGGCAAGCGCTCTACCACTGAGCCACCTTCCCAGCCCGATCTCAGCCTTTTGAGTAGCTAGGATTATAGGCATGAGCCACCAGCATCCAGCTGTCTATCTGTCTATATGCCTCTGAGTCCTTCCCCTCTCATATTTCCCCCATAAGGCCAGTAGGTACTTGTTAATCCCTGTTAAATTAATCCCTGTGCCTTGTATCTAAACCACCACCCAGTCTTGTGGGTTCCATTTTCTGCCCTCTGTCTACCTGGTATCACTAGCTGCTTCTTCTTTGTTCCTTCAGGAAAACACCAGAATATCAAACACTGAAAACACCTGTCATTCTTAAGTTCTCTACACACTTGGCATCAAGTTTAGCCTCTTGAACCTGAACTTGAGGGTCCATTTCTTCCAGCCCCGCCTGCTACCTCCGCAGCTGTGGTGTTTTATCTGCAATGCAGTCCTGTACTCCTTGTCAGCAATTCCGCCCTGGTGTTGCCAGGCCTTCCACAGTTTGTCCTTTCCACTCTGCTGATTCTTGCATTCTAGGATTTGGCTTAGACCAATGTTCCTTGCCTGCATATTGTATAATTGGGGAGCTTTAAGAAATACAGTGCCTGGGCACTGGTGACTCATCACCACCGAAAACCCGAGTGTCAGGAAAAGCCTGACGGCTGTTTTTTTGTTTGTTTGTTTTTTGGGGTCCGGTGGTGGGGCCTGAACTCTGGGTCTGGGTGCTGTCCCTCAGCTCTTCAGCTCAAGGCTAGTGCTCTACTACTTGAGCCACAGTGCCACTTCCAGCTTTTTTCTTTTTGCTTATGTGGTGCTGAGGAATCGAACCCAGGGCCTCAGGCATGCAAGGCAAATGCTCTACCACTGAGCCACCTTCCCAGCCCCTGACTACTGTTTTTAAAAGCTGTTGCATGGATGGGTGCCTGTAACCCTATCTATTGGGAGGCTGATATCTGAGATTTCAAAGTAAGTCTGGGCAGAGCTGGGTGAGGGAAGGCAGTTGAAGGCCCACCTGTGTAAGAGGAAGGACCTCAGTGGAGCCAGAGATAATGCTAGATGGTGGCTGATAGTGGAATCTGACTTTGACATATAATAGGCACTATTCAAATGACCCAAACAGCTCAAACATCTCTCTAACACTTGTATACTAGCAAGTACCTACTATACTAGCAAGTACCACATGTGTGGTTCCTCTGAAACACAGATGTGGCACAGCCCCCTGATAGTTATGTCTATCACAGAAGATACCTAGGGACTTACAGTGAAGCCTGGCTAGTAAGGTAAGGGATAGAGCACCAAGAAAATGGGATGAAGGAGTTGGGGGAGAGGACAGTTGCCCAGAAGAAAGGCACTCCAACTGTGGTTCTCATCTGTGGCCTCAGAAATACGTGCATCGGGTTGTTAGTTTTTTTTGGGGGGGGGGTGGAGTGGGGGGCAATTCTTACTGAATTCAGGGTCTTGACACTGTCCCTTGGATTTTTTGCTCAAGGTTATCCTTCTAGCACTTGAGCCACAGCTTCGCTTCTGGATTTTTGGTGATTAATTGGAGTTAAAAGTCATAATTATATGCCTCCATCAGAAAGAATGACATTGCCCCATTTGTTAGGAAATGGAAAAACTTGGAAAAAATTATATTAAGTGAAGTAAGCCAGGCCCAAAGAAACATAGGTCCCATGGTTTCCCTTATTTGCAATATCTAGTATATGTATGAGTCAAGCGGAAAAGGTCAGATAATGTGATGTTAGGAAAATGAACCCTTAGATATGTATTTTAATGTTTTTTTCTTTCATGCATTTGTTTCTAACGCATTTATAAGATTATCTCTTTGTTGCTTTGTATGTCCCTCCCCCACAGTATAACCCCTACTTTCACTATATTTGATGTCAGTATAACTTGTAGAGGAGATGGGGAAAAACAAGTCGTTTAAGGATACAGGTGGACCTGTTGCAACAATGAGAAGTACAAGTTGTCATGTTGAAAACAAGCTTTACGACGTTGGTTTGCGGGGGGGGGGGGGGGGGGGGGGGGGGGGGGGGGGGAGGCGGGGAGGATTGGAGATTGGGTTGGGAGGTGGGGAGGGAGGCTGGGAAGGGATGTGAAGGGTAAACAAAGGAGGAGGCTGCAATGCTTGATAAGAAATGTACGCATTATCCTGCCCATGTAATTGTAACCCCTCTGTATAGTGTGTTCACACAAAAAGAATAAATTTTAAAAAAAGTCATAATTAGGCACCTGTGGCGCACACCTATAATCTTAGCTACTTGGTAGGCTAAGATCTGAGGATCGTGGTTTGAAGCCAGCCAGGAAGGAAATTCTTATGAGACTCTTATCTCCAAACAGCCAGAAGTGGAGATTTGGTGTAAGTGATAGAGTGCTAGCCTGAGCAAAAAATGTTCAGGACAGTGCCCAGGCCCCGAATTCAAGCCCCAGGACTGGCACAAAAGAGCCTTATGGATTTTCCTGCCCAGACTGGCTTCAAACTATGATCTTCAGATCTCAGCCTTCTGAGTAGCTAGGATTATTGGCCTGAGTCCCAGCATTTTAAGAAGAGAGGCAGGGACAGGGAATGTGGTTTAGTGGTAGAGTGCTTGCCTAGCATGCAGGAAGCCCTGGGTTCAATTCTTCAGTGCTACAGAAACAAAAATCTGGGAGTGGCACTGTGGCTCAAGTGGTGCTGTGGCTTGAGCAAAAGAAGCTCAGGGACAGTGCCCAGGCTCTGAGTTCAAGCCCCAGGACTGGCAAGAAAAAAAGAGAGAGAGGCAGAAGGATCACAAGTTTCAGACTTTCCTGGGCTGCTTAGAAATTATAGACCAATTATAGGATGAAACCTTGTCTCAAAACAAAACAAAAAGCTGGACACCGGTGGCTCATGCCTGTAATCCTAGCTACTTAAGAGGCTGAGATCTCAGGATGGCAGTTCAAAACCAACTCGGGCTAGAAACTCCCTGAGACTCTTATCTCCCGATTAACCACCAGAAAACCGGAAGTGGTGCTGTGGCTCAAGTGGTAGAGTGCTAGCCTTGCATGCATGAGGCCCTGAGTTCGGGTCCTCAGCACCACATAAGCAGAAAAAGCTGGAAGTGGTGCTATGACTCAAGTAGTAGAGCACCAGCCCTGAGCTGAAGAGCTGAGGGACAGTGGCCAGGCCCAGAGTTGAGGCCCCACGACCGACAAAAAAAATAAAAATAAAAATAAAGAAAGTGCCAATGATCAAAAGCTCAAGGCCTGACACCCATACACAAAAATTATTTTGTTTATTTTGGGTTAGCTTTTTGTTTTTGTTTTGGTCATGGGAGAATTGAACTCTGGGCCTGGGCGTTATCCCTTAGCTCTTCAGCTCAAGGCTAGTGTCTACCACTATGGCCAAAGCACCACTTCCGGTTTTCTGGTAGTTTATTGGAGATAAGAGTCTCACAGACTTTCCTGCCTGGCCTGGCTTTGAACCACGATCCTCAGATCTCAGCCTTTGGAGTAGCTAGGATTATAGGTGTGAGCCACCAGCACCTGGCTTGGGTTAGCTTTTATTGCATGTTATCCATTTGCCTCTGTGCACTCTGAACTATTTGCCTTCAATTCAGGCCACATGTGATCTAGTATTCATAGTGCTTCGGTATATGGTTTCAAGGGTAACACCCAATGGGTTGTCTACCATGGACTAGTACTGTGACCTTTGTTTGAGCTGGAGAACACTGGTCACATGGTTTCTTGTACCGGGTTGTGTGGATACCTGTTGCCTGTTGTTACCTTTTTTATCCACTAGGGTGCAGTGTTGCACCAGCCTCTCTGGTCTTTTCTATCTTACAGCCTAGCATTTTAGTTCCTCAGGTGATTCCCAAACTATGTTTCTACTCTTACATTCCAACCCAGTGGAGACATCCATACAATGTAACCACATATATGCAACAAAAGTTTCATAAAGTAAAACTTTGCTATATACTCTATAAGCTTTTCTATTCTCTCTTTTCAAAAAGATGCTGATCACTGCCTTAATTCAGTTCATTACTAACAAATTGGATTACAGCCTATAACTTGGAAAAAAGAATGTTGCCTTAAAATTCCTTTAGGCTGCCAGGCGCCAGTGGCTCACGCCTGTACCTAGCTACTCAGGAGGCTGAAATCTGAGGATTGTGGTTCAAAGCCAACCTGGGCAGGAACGTCTGTGAGACTCTTATCTCCAATAAACCACTCAGAAAATGGAAGTGGCATGGTGGCTCAAGTGGTAGAGCTTGCACCTTGAGCTAAAGAGCTGAGGGACAGTGCCCAGGTCCAGAGTTCACACCCCATGACCAACAAAAAATAAAAAATAAAAATAAAAAAATTCCTCTCCAGATCTAGGGTTGGATAGTTAGGGATGAGATGTAGGAATAGAAAGGAAACATGGTTGCTATGGGGTTCAGAGAAGCAGCTAGGAATGGAGCTTTTATTCCATTTCTTTTTGCTCTGTATTAGAATTTTCTGAATGGGTTCTGGTGATCCCACTGACACTAATATTGAGCTCATCCAAGTGCTCAGATGTGTGTGGTTTTGTTCCCAGTCTCCATGAGCAGCACAATGGAATGTGGTCTCAGCCTGTTTGACCAGTACTCTCTGAGGGTTTAGAGCTATGGAATCCTGCACTGGGATTGCCCTGGTGACTCAGTTACCTGAGTTCACACAGGGTGGTCCTGACTTAGCTTAGCAGTAGTTTGTTTGATAGACCAGAAAACCATGCATTAATGATGGGAATGAGCAGGCAGGGAGTCGCCTGCAGCTCTGAAGAAGATGGAAGTTCTCATTTGTCTCCATCCTTGCTTTATAGAATACCTCCCGGACATTTGAGGTAGACTACGATCAGGACTGCTTCCTCAAGGATGGCAAGCCATTCCGCTATATCTCAGGAAGCATCCACTACTTCCGAGTGCCTCGCTTCTACTGGATGGACCGGCTGCTGAAGATGAAGATGGCCGGGCTGAATGCCATCCAGACGTAAGTACAACACTCAGTGCCCACTGGGGACTGAGTGTCTTGGAAAACAGTACAGCTGCATTTCTCAGAGCAGCTGTTTCGTTGCTCAGGAATGGGGAAGTAGGCGCCAGTGGCCTTCTGGGAGGTGTTTGGAATGAACTTGATTAGACCTGCATTCAGATAATTTGCCACTTTTTCCAGTCTTGAGTTTTGTCACCAGAAATCATGAAATACCAGCTTAAAAAGATAAAGGTGGAAACTAGGCGGAGGACACAGAAACAGAGGGAAACAGAGAAAAACAGGCAACAGTGGGACCCATCAGCTGCACTGGTCATTAATCAAAAGGAATTAAGCAACTCAGTGGCAGTGATGGGAGGGAGGGAATGAGAGGGAAAGAGGGACCAACTGACACTAAGCAAAAAAGAAAGAAATGTCCATATCACCCAATGTGGAAGAATAGCTGTATTGTCAAAGCTCATAGAATTCACAAACTTTATAGACCATGATACAGACAATTTGCCCCATGAAAGTTAGAAATTTGGGGGGGGAAAAAAAAGGTAAAAGTGGGCTGGGCTTTGTGGTACTTATTTGTAATCCCAGCTAGGCAGGTAGTAGAATCACCATTTGAGGCTTACCCAATCAAAACTGGAGACCTTATTGAATATCAATTAAAAGGCTGGGCATGTGGCTCAAGTAGAGTAAGCCCCAAAGCCCAGAGTTTAATCCTCAGTATAATCAATCAGTCAGTCAATCAATCAATAAAGGCAAGTGATAGCACTTTGAGGTACCATGCTCCTTACGTCCCATTTCTCTAAGGTAGGCTGGAAAAATTCAAGTTCCCCCAAGGTCATATCTTTGGGCAAGGGTCCGGCTAGGATTGGAGTGTAGGGGAGTTTGTAGGCAGCCATAGTTTCTCTTGGCTCTTACAACTTAAGTCTTGTGCTTAGGTAGATTTCTGAACCCATATGCCTTCTTGGTTTGCTGGGGGTGACTATATATGCCCATGCTATAAGTCAACCCAGTCATCCTAACCTTGTCTCCTCTATTTTGTTGGTTTTGGCAGAACTGATATGGATGGCCAATAACTATTCAAGTATCAAAAGTATAACAACCTCAGATGTTTCAATGCTGTTCTGGTTCTATGGGAGGAGCAAACCCAAGTTCCCCCTTAAGTCGTTTATACATGAGTTCTAGTAGGTTTGAGGGAGCCCTGAAATCCTGACACTGGAGAAAAACTCAGGCCAAGGTCATCAAAGTGATTTTCATGCTAGAACTGGCTGGCCCCATGTTTGTGTTTGCTTCCTGAGATAGCTGGAAGTATTGGCAGAAATGTTGGCTATTTTTACCTCCTCCATGCTAATTCCTGACAAAATCATTTGTGTATGTATAGGGGTTGAGGGATTTGTTCATTTATTGACAGGATATTACTATGGAGCTCAGGCTGACCTCAAACTTGCAGGTTTCCTGCCTCCACTCCCAAGTGCTAGAATCATTGGTTTATTTCTACTTTTGTTAAAGTTTATTTTTAGTGGTACTAGGGGTTGACCTCAGGGCCTCCTACTTGTGAGGCAAGTTGTGAAGTTGTTTTTTTTTTGGTCGGTCGTGGGGCCTGAACTCTGGGCCTGGGCGCTGTCCCTCAGCTCTTCAGCTCAAGGCTAGCACTCTACCACATGAGCCATAGCACCACTTCCCGCTTTTTCTACTTATGTGGTGCTGAGGAATGGAACCCAGGGCCTCATGCATGCAAGGCAAGCATTCTACCACTGAGCCAGCCCCAAGTTATGAAGTTTTTATCTTTTTTTTTTTTTTTAACCATGGAGCTTGAACTCAGGTGAACTCAGGGCTTGGGTGCTATCCCTGAGCTTTTTTTTTTGGGGGGGTCAGTTGTGGGGCCTGGACTCCAGACCTGGGCACTGTCCTTCAGCTCAAGGCTAGCGCTCTACCACTTGAGCCACAGAACCACTTCTGATGTTTTCTGCTTATGTGGTGCTGAGGAATGGAACCCAGGGCCTCATGCATGCAAGGCAAGCACTCAACCACTGAGCTACCTTTCCAGTCCCCATGAGCTTATTGTTTTACTCAAGGCTAGTGCTCTACCACGTGAGCTACAGCGCCACTTCAGATAAGAGTCTCTTGGACTTTCCTGCCAGGGCTAGCTTTGAACAGCAATTCTCAGATCTTAGCCTCCTGAGTAATTAGGATAATAGGTGTGAGCCACCAACACCTGGTGAAGTTTTATCTCTTTAAATATACCTCTTACTAGTTTAGCAAGCTACTTGCTATATATGCTTTACACAGGCATATATAACATTTCTATAATGGGAATTAGTGTTCATGTTATTCTGGTTTTTGCTTTATATTTACATTGTTTAAACAAAATAATTATCATTGTTCCCCCCCCCCCCTTTCTGTCACACAGTTTCTGTAAAGATTGTTGTTATAGGGGGCTGCGAATGTGGCTCAATATTAGAGCATAATCAAGTCCTAGTTTTGAGGAACTCAAAAGTGTGGCTTAAATAATAAAGCACTCACTGTGAGCTCAAGGCTTAAATTCAAGCCCCAGTACTGGAACACACACCCACAAAGGCAGTACTGGGACCCACACATATAGGGGAGGGAAAAAAAAAAAAAAAGGCCTGGCTTTGATCCCCAGCACTGCAAATAAACAAAAATGGTTTTACTTATAATGGAGGCAACTAGCTAATGGTAAAGCCAAATTGAAGGAGAACTTGAGGAAGAGATGTTTATAGATTGAGCCAAGAAAGTAGAGCTGAAATTAAATATCTTGGGAGATTAAACTGATAAATATAGTACCATAAAAGGTGAGGTTGCTGGGCTACTCAGGAGGCTGAGGTCTGAAGATCAGAGTTCAAAGCCAGCCCAGCAGACAAATCCAAGAGACTCTTCAATTAACCAGTAAGAAACCACAAGTAGAGCTGTGGCTCAAGTGACAGCACCAGCCTGGAGTGAAGGGAAACACCTCCAGGGAACAGATTGGGGCTTGGGAAAGCATCAGGGCCCCAAATTCAATCCCTAGTACTAGAAAACACACACACACACACACACACACACACACACACACACACACACACAGGTGATATTTGATATTCCTTTTGGAATTGTCTTTTCTATACAGCAGTAGCCATTTGACACCCTTATAAGGTAATAACAAGTATAAATGAATCCATAACTTGCCTTAATCAGTACTTACTAGTTACATTATTTCCCCCAGAGAATAAAAGAAGTCTTAGTAATAATCTTGAATAATCTCCAGAACAATACTGAGAAGAAATAAACAGTCAGCCTTTGACCTTATTTCCAAGTTCTGGGTTATATTCCTCAAAGCCCTCCCCTTCTTCACCCTTTTGTCCTAAGAAGATCTCTTCCCCTTCCTTCTTTCTCACCCCTGCCAACTATCTGCAGACGGGCTGTGTGTGTCTTCACAGGTATGTGCCCTGGAACTTTCATGAGCCCCAGCAAGGACACTACCAGTTTTCTGGAGATCATGATGTGGAGTATTTTCTTCAGCTAGCTCACAAGCTGGAACTGCTAGTCATCCTGAGGCCGGGGCCCTACATCTGTGCAGAGTGGGACATGGTGAGTGTGGCGGGCTGGCAGGCAGGCACCTGGGCAAAGTCAACTAGAGTAGTCTAAATAAGACTGTAGAGCCAGGTGCAGTGGCTCACATGTGTAATCCTAGCCACTCAACAGGCTGAGCACTGAGGATAGCAGTTCAAAGCCAGAAATGTTCATGAGACTCTTACTCCATATTAGCCAGCAAAAATCCAGAAATAGAGCTATGGCTCAAGTGGTAAAGCACAGGCCTTGAGTAGAGAAAGCTAAGGGACAGTGCCCAGTCCCTGAGTTCAAGCCCTAGTTCCAGCATGCATGCACATGTACACACACACACACACACACACACACACACACACATGCGTGCGCACGTGCGTGTGTGCACACACACACGCACACACATGGCAGCTAATGATGTCTGTTCTTTTTCACACAGGGCTGTGAAATGAGCTGGAGTCATCTACATAAAATAGCATTGAATCTCTAAATTAACAGCTGGGATCTTAGTTTTACTATGTTCCAATTTCCCAAAAGTTACAAACCAGACAGCTGAAATGTCTTTTCTCTGAAGCATACACTGCTAACAGTAATTTCAATCTTCTTTAAGCTCCTTTCACGAACATGACATGATAATAGCTTTCATCCCTTTTCTCTCTTCATAGGGGGGATTGCCTGCTTGGCTATTAGAGAAGGAATCTATTGTTCTCCGCTCTTCTGACCCAGGTAAGTCAGAGAGATCCTCAGAATTTATGAAATAATTAGACAGTTTAATAGAAGAAGCCAGATCATTTGAAAGCTGAGCTACTGTACAAGTACTTCTAAGAGCTTGGCAGAGTGAGTGTGAAATACCCTTCACCACACCACACCAGACATTGAAGATGTAGGAGATCGGCTTCCTTGCACCCCTTGGCCAGATCTTACAGATAGCCTGGTAACACTTTGAATTGGCATTGAACTCTGTGGTTGGCCCACTAATGATGCTCTTTCTCTTTTTACATATTCAATGTATGACACAGCCTGTGATACTTTGATAATCAAAATGCCATATGTACTTTCTAGATATAACTAGATTTCTTGGTAGCTGTAGTGTCTACTTATATACAGTGACAGTTGGATGACATTTATAAGACATTCTTACCTATTTATTCATTCAACCATTCATTCATGCATGCATGCCAGTACTGGGGCTTGAACTCAGGGCCTGGTACTCTTACTTAGTGGTTTTTTGGTCAGTCATGGGGCTTGAACTCAGGGCCTGGGTGCTGTCCCTGAGATTTCCTGTTCAAGGCTAGCACTCTACCACTTGAACCACAGTGCCATTTCGGGATTTTTCTGTTTATGTGGTACTAAGGAATGGAGGAACCCAGGGCTTCGTGCATGCTAGGCAAGCACTCTACCACTAAGCCACATTTCCAGCCCTCTTGCTTAGCTTTTTCACTCAAAGTTGGCACTTTTTTGGGGGGAGGGGGAGGTTGGTCGTGGGGCTTGAACTCTGGGTCTGGTCACTGTCCCTGAGCTCTTCAGCTCAAGGCCAGTGTTCTACCACTTCCTGTTTTCTGGTGGTTAATTGGAGATAAGAGTCTTATGGACTTTCCTGCCCTTGTTGGCTTTGAACCTCAATCCTCAGATCTCGGCCTCCTGAGTAGCTAGGATTACAGGCGTGAGCCACGGGCGCCCAGCTAAGGCTGAAACTCTTATTACTTGAGTCATGTCTTTACTTCTGGCTTTTTGCTGATTAATTGTAGATAAAAGTCTTTTGGATTTATCTGTCTATGCTGGCTTTGAACCAGGCTCAGCCAGGGCCAGTTCAGAAGAAGCATGAGCCACTGGCACTTGGTTTTTCTTATCTTTTTTAAATAGAGAGGGGCTTTGAAGGTGGCTCAGTGGTAAGTGCTTGCCTTGCATGCATGAGGCCCTGGGTTTGATCCGCAGCACCACATAGGCAGAAAAAGCCGGAAATGGCGCTGTGGCTCAAGCGGTAGAGTGCTAGTCTTGAGCTGAAGAGCTGAGGGACAGCGCCCAGGCCCAGAGCTCAGGCCCCATGACTGGCAAAAAAAAAAAAAAAAAGTGAGAGATTATTTTAGCTCTAAACCCACAGTCAGAAATTCCTATTTCAGGGGCTGGGAAGTGGGCTCAGTGGTAGAGCGCTTGCCTTGCATGCCTGAGGCCCTGGGTTCGATTCCTCAGCACCACATAAGCAAAAAGAAAAAACCCAGAAGTGGTGCTCTGGCTCAAGTGGTAGAGCACTAGCCTTGAGCTGAAGAGCTGAGGGACAGCGCCCAGGCCCAGAGTTCAGGCCCCACGACCGGACCCAAAAAAAAAAAAAAAGAAATTCCTATTTCACTGAATTGCTGTTTCTCTTGGGGATGGTGGAGATTATTGTAATAGTGGATAATATGAAGTTTATTCTATGGAAAATTAGTTCATTTTTTAAAATTAATTAATTAATTTTTTGGGGGGGGAGGTCCAGTCGTGGGGCCTGAACTCTGCGCCTGGGCACTGTCCCTCAGCTCTTCAACTCAAGGCTAGCGCTCTACCACTTGAGCCACAGCGCCACTTCCGGCTTTTTTCTTTTTGCTTATGTGGTGCTGAGGAATTGAACCCAGGGCCTCATGCGTGCAAGGCAAGCACTCTACCACTGAGCCACCTTCCCAGCCCCAGTTAGTTCATTTATACTATAAGTATTTTATTGTTTTACCTTTCTGGTTTGTATCTTAATATATTACTATACTAGTGCTCTCAAATGTATTACCTCTGTAGTCCTCATGATATCTTTATAAAACATACAGTTCTTATTCCCTTTTGTTAGTACAAATATGTAATTTAGTACAGCTTTTCGTGTTTTTGTTTTTGCAATCATAGATTGTGAATTTGAGGCCTGGGTTGTACTTGCTAGGGAGGAACTCTACCAATTGAGTCACTCTATCAGCTGCTTTTTGTGTGTGTTGGTTGGTTATTTATTTATTTATTTGGACACTTCTGGGGCTTGAACTCAGGGCCTAGGCACTGTCCCTAAGGGTGTTTTTTTGAGGAAGGGGGGAATGGGAGGCTCAAAGCTAGTGCTCTGGAGCCACAGCCCCACTTCTGACTTTTTGTAGTTTATTGGAGGTAAGACTTTTTGTAGTTTATTCAAGGACTTTGTTGTCTGGGCTGGCTTTGAATAGTGATCCTTAGATCTCAGCCTCTTGAGTAGGATTACAGGTATGAGCCATGTTATTTTTGAGGTAGAGTCTTACTTTGTGCCAGGGCCAGCCTAGATTGCAATAATTTTATTTGTGCTTACTATGTGGCTGGGAAGACAGGAATATGCTACCTTGTTTCCTAGCCATTGTGCTTCCCCTATAGCTGAAATGATGGGTCTGTGCCAATGTACTGGTTGCAAAGCCACTGATTGAGAAAAGGAGTCTCGTGCCTAGGTTGGCCTTAAATCTTGCTCCTCTCATTTCCTCTTCTCCAAGTAGTAAAGATTATAGCCTTGATCTCTCATGGCAACTGGAACTTAATCTTAGAAATAACAGAGAGGAGAACATAGCATTCAGTTTGTCTTCTCTTTGGTTAGCAACCATTACCTGTGCTCCTGGCTTTGTGTCCTCGGGCAAGGACAGGCATAGTAGGCCTTGTCCACTGAGGAGATCAACTGAACTACTATCTTGCAGGACAATATTGCTGATACTTTTCTTGGTCCGGTACATGCCCCATTTTAGAAAGTAGTTGTTGAATGTCTGGTATAACCTGGTCCTTGCTGCCAATCCGTGTGGGAGTCTGCAGTGAACTCTTTTTTTTTTTTTTTTTTTTAATCAGTTTGGGGTTTGAACTGGGCCTGGGCACTGTCCCTGAGATTTTTTTGTTCAAGGCTAGTTGCTCTACCACTTTGAACCATAGCCCCAGCTTCCAGTTTTCTGGTGGTTAATGGGACATAAGAATCCTGCAGACTTTCCTGTCCAGGCCGGCTTTGAACACGATTCTCAGATCTCAGGCTCCTGAGTAGCTAGGATTACAGGTGTGAGCCATTAGCACCCAGCTGCAGGTGAACTCTTGGTTCTGAAAGTATATTAAGGCGTCACACCAATCTTGTTTTCTAGATTACCTCAAAGCTGTGGATAAGTGGTTGGGAGTCCTTCTGCCTAAGATGAGGCCTCTTCTCTATCAGAATGGAGGACCGATTATAACAGTGCAGGTAAATGTGGAACTGAGCTAAGAGGTGGGTTTCCATCCCTCTATACCGCATACATGATAGATGTGGACACACACCGTGTCAGTCTGTTACTTGAAGAGGGGATGCTATGGATGATGCTTTTACTTAAATACTTTAATATATCATATTTTGATTTTTTTAATAAAAAGGGGGTTCAGCATGACATTTCCATAAATGCATACAAGAGAACTACCACCCGCCGCCTTTCTGTCACTCTCCTCTATCTCTCGCTCCTCTTAAAGTAATTTCAGCTGGTTTCATCATTTTATTCTCATACGCACAACTAAACTACTCTGACAGTGTTTGTCCTCTTTACTCTCTTCATTCGCCCTTCATGCTTCAGAAGCTGATTCCCTTCCCTCAGCAGAGCTGGTTTTCCTCTCATCATTCTTTTTTCTAGTATATACTAATTGTACCAAGAATTCTTCAGCTCAAGGCAAAGTGCTCTACCACTTAAGCCACAGCGCCACTTCTCATTTTCTGGTGGTTAATTAGAGATAAGAGTCGCACAGACTTTCCTGCCTGGGCTGGCTTTGAACTGCGATCCTCAGATCTCAGCCTCCTGAACAGCTAGGAATACAGGTGTGAGCCATTGATGCCAGGCTAAATTCCTTTATCAAATGAATAGCTGGCAAAGATACTCTTTCACTCTGTGGATTGTTTCTTGGCTTGGATAATTATTTCTTTTGCTGTGCAGAAGCATTTTAATTTGATGCAGTTCATTTTGTTCATTTTTGCTTTTATTTTCTGGGCAAGTAGAGTCTTAATATTCAGAAAATAATTACCTGTGCTTATTTGATCCAGAATTTTCCTGTAGTAATTTCAGAGTTTCGGATGTTACATTTAGATATTTGATCCATTTGGAGTTGATTTTTGTACAGGGCAAGAGATAAGGTTCTAGTTTCAATCTCCTGCATGTAGATAAGCACCATTTGTTAAAGAGGGTGTCTTTTCTCCAGTGTATGTTTTTGGCTCCTTTATTAAAAATTAGGTGGCTGAAGCTGTGTGTTTTTGTTTCTGGGTCTTCTGTTCCATTAATTTTCATATTTGTTTTTGTGCCAGTACCAGATTCTTTTTGTTATTATGGCTATATAGTATAATTTGAAGTCTGGTATTGTAATACCTCCTGTGTTGCTGAGGCTGAGATCTGAGGTTCACAATTTAAAGCCTGCCTGGGCAGGAAAATCCATGAGTACTAGCTTTGAGCTACAATGTGCAGGGACAGCAGCTAGGCCCTGAGTTCAAGACCCAGGACCAAAACACACACGCACACAAAGAGTTTGTGTCTTACTGTATTGCCCACTTGGCCCTTAGCTCCTGAGTTTGAGCACTGTCTGCCTCAACAGGAGGATCCTAAGTGGTTGGGACTACAGGAGTTCACTGCGATATCTTGTTCTTTTTTCTTTTCTTGTCGGTTGTGGGGCTTGAACTCTGGGTCTGGGCCCTGTCCCTGAGCAATTAGCTCAAGGCTAGTGCTCTACCACTTGAGCCACAGCACCACTTCCAGTTTTCTGGTGGTTAACTGGAGATAAGAGTCTCACAAATGTTCCTTCCCAGGCTGGCTTTGAACTTCAATCCTCAGATCTCAGCCTCCTAAGTAGCTAGGATTATAGGCATGAGCCACTGGCGCCCAGCTCTTCTAGTTCTTATAGTATACTTATTTAATGATATCCAGCTCTGTCCTGGATGCTGAAAACTGCTATTGGAAGAATTCAAGATGAAGTGATTTGGCCTCGCCCACCCAGTTGTCATTTGGCAGTCAGGATTTCATGCTATTTCTGTAGATCTCAGGGTCTCTTTCTCTCTCTCCTTTTTTTTTTTTTTGTCTGTTGTGGGGCTTGAACTCTGGGCTTGGGCACTGTCCCTTAGCTTTTTCACTCAAGGATAGCATTCTACCACTTGAGCCACACCTCCACTTTTGCCTTTATGGTGGGTAATTGGAGATAGGAATCTCACAGATTATCTTGCCCAGGCTAGCTTCAAACCACGATCTTCACATCTCAGCCTCCTGAGTATCAAGTATTACAGATGTGAGCCACTGACGCCGCACTTCCTGGTTCTTCATTGAAAAAGTTTGTTAAACACTAGAAAAATTGGTGTTCTTCTGAATCTCATTGTGACTTTTCTATGAGTCTTGCCTTTTTCTGTTTGTGTTCATTTTTTTCCCACTCTCAGCCCTAACATTTGCACAGCTCTATTTTTTTACTAATTGGCAGTGATGTAAAACTTGGGTTTGGTCGTCATTGCTTTGCTAGCTTTTTGAGGACTAAGCAGAGGCTAGGTACTATACAAAGGTCTTTTCCTGAATTGACTCAGTTAAACCTCATAACAACTCAGCAAAGTAGGTGTTACAACCTCTCCAGATGAGAAACTCTTGTACAGGTGGAGTCCCATGGACAGGAAGTGGCAGAGCTCAGATTTGCATGCAGCCAATAGAGACCTCTGATGCTTATGGCCATGACTTTAAGCTGTTTTTTTTTTGTTGTTGTTGTTTTTGTTTTCTGGTTTTTGGTGCCAGTCCTGGAGCTTGAACTTGGGCCCTGGACATTGGTCCTGAAGATTTCTTTAAAATATAATTTTATGGTTATTATTAAGATGTTGTACAGAGGGATTACCGTTTCACAATTCAGGTAATACATATTTCTCTTTTGGACACTATCACCCCTTCCTTCACTTTCCCCCAGGGTCTTCCTCCTGTTCCTGCCCACAAGATGCAGTTTCTACTTGGTGTATAATGAATATCTTTTTTTTTTTTTTTGTCAGGCGTGGGGCTTGAACTCTGGGGCTGGGCGCTGTCCCTCAGCTCTTCAGCTCAAGGCAAGCGCTCTACCACTTGAGCTACAGCACCACTTCTGGTTTTCTGGTGGTTTATTGGAGATAGGAGTCTCACGGTCTCTCCTGCCCGGGCTGGCTTTGAACCTCGATCCTCAGATCTCAGCCTAATGGGTAGCTAGGATTACAGGCGTGAGCCACCAGCGCCCGGCTATAATGAATATCTTGATTGCATTTGTTCACTATTCCTCCTCCCTTTTCTGTAACCCGCTTTCCCTTTGCTCCCCTCATAAGAAGCAGAAAAAAAAAAAACAAAACCCAACCCACCCATGTTTGTGTTTCCCGGAATTTGTTTCAATAGATAATATTTTATATGTTCAGGAACCTTTGGGTTCCTCTCCTACTGGTACCCTCTGTATGTAAATGCCTGGGGTCATGTTTAGGTTATCACATGTGTGCTGCTCATCTCTTTGAGTTTGGCTTACCCCACTCAACATGATTTGTTCTAGGTCCATCTGTTTCCCCATAAATGACAAAAATATTATTCTTTCTAATGGACGGCCCTGAGGTTTTCTTGCTCAAGGCTGCTCTGCCACTTGAGCCTCAGCTCTCCACTTCTGGCATTTTTTAATAGTTAATTAGAGATAAGACTTTCTGCCCAGCCTGGCTTCAAACTGTGGTCCTCATATCTCAGCCTCTTGAGTAGCTAGGATTACAGGCATGCTGCTGGGCTTTGTTTTGTAAATGTTTCTCTCCCTCCCCCCTTTTCTCTTCTTTTCTCTTGCCCCCTCTCTCCTTCTCTCCCTCTCTCCCTCCTCCCTTCTCTCTCTCCTCCTTTCTCCCCTCTCCTTTCTCCTCTCCTTATAATAAATAAATGTCCATGTATTCATTAGAAGCCACTTTTTGTTTGGTTGATAATAGATAAATATAATGAACAGGTAGGGTTATGGGAAGGAAACCAAGGCTGGTGGCAGAAAAGGACATAGGTATAGAGGCTCTGGCTCACTTGCTAGAATTGACCCTCAAATTTAGCTCTGAATTTCTTGGCAGTCAAATGATAAAGGACGGCATAGTCATTTATGTAGCTCTTAAAAGGGAGAGGAGGCGTGGAGAAAAGGAGGGAAAAAAGAACCTTACCAGAATTTGCAAAGCTTTTCTTAACTCGCATCTCAATGATTTCAAAGGAACTTTCATGAGACAAGGGTGTCAGCAAAAATTACCCAAGGTAGAGTTTTCTACTCTGTGTGTATCAAATACCTCCTTTTTATTTTTTAGTTTTTGGCTGGGTCATGGGCTTGGACTCAGGGCCTGGGCACGGTCCCTGGGCTTTTCTGCTCTACCACTTTGAGCCACAGTTCCACTTTTGGGTTTTTTGGTGGTTAATTGGGGATGAGTCTCATGGACTTTCCTGCCTGGGCTGGCTTTGAATCATGATCCTCATATCTCAGCCTCTTGAGGAGCTAGGATTATAGGCATGAGCCACCAGTGCCTGACTCTCCAACCCTTTTTACTTACAGTTTTTCCATTAGGGTCTTGCATATTTTCCTGGGTTGGCCCAGACTACAACCCTCCTATTTATGCCTACTCATGGGTGAAAGGTTCAGACCACCCACACCCACATCCAGATTTTTCTAACCTTTTCTACAGGCTAGCTTTTTTTGGGGGGAGGGGAGGGGGGGTCCAATCGTGGGGCCTGAACTCTGGCCTGGGCACTGTCCCTCAGCTCTTCAGCTCAAGGCTAGCACTCTACCACTTGAGCCACAGCGCCACTTCCAGTGTTTTTGTTTTTTTTTTTTTTAATTTTATTTTATTTGTGAACATACTGTACAGAGGGGTTACAATTACATGGGCAGGATAATGCGTACATTTCTTTTTTTTTTTTTTTGTCGGCCGTGGGGCTTGAACTCTGGGCCTGGGCGCTGTCCCTCAGCTCTTCAGCTCAAGGCGAGCGCTCTACCACTTGAGCTACAGCGCCACTTCCGGTTTTCTGGTGGTTTATTGGAGATAGGAGTCTCACGGTCTCTCCTGCCCGGGCTGGCTTTGAACCGCGATCCTCAGATCTCAGCCTCCTGAGTAGCTAGGATTACAGGCGTGAGCCACCAGCGCCCGGCCATGCGTACATTTCTTACCAAGCATTGCAGCCTCCTCCTTTGGTTTACCCTTCACATCCCTTCCCAGCCTCCCCCCTCTCCCCCTTCCAGCATTTTTTTCCTGCTTATGTGGTGCTGAGGAATCGAACCCAGGAGCTCATGCATGCAAGGCAAGCGCTCTACCTCTGAGCCACCTTCCCAGCCCTACAGGTTAGCTTTAAACCTCAGTTCTCCTGATCTGTGCCCTCAGAGTAGTTGAGATTTCTGGTGTGAGCCACTGCACCCAGCCTGCAGGTTGAAATTTTATTCTTAGACAAAAAAAAACTTATATGAAGTTATGAAATACAGCACAATTACATAAATGTGCACTCTAATGAATTGTTGTAACATAAGGAACCACATAACACCACTTCAGGAAAAGAAATAGCACCCTAAAAGGTTCCCAAGTGTCTTTGATCATACTTCATTTTGTTCCCCTGTCCTGGCTTTGGTGGAAATAGTTTATAGTCTAGTCTCAAGTGTTTTTGAGGGGCTGGGAAGGTGGCTCAGTGGTAGAGCGCTTGCCTTGCATGCCTGAGGCCCTGGGTTCGATTCCTCAGCACCACATAAGCAAAAAAAAAACAAAAAAACTTCTTTTCAAGTGTTTTTGAGGTTTCCACTGAGTATTGGATGGTGTATTTTTCAGCATCACCTTTATTTCATACATTATATTTCTAAGGTTCTTTGTTGTAGTAGTAGTAGTGGGTAAATCTGGAAGTTCATTTTATTAAAGAGCAATGTTTCTTTTACTGTATTTTTCCTTTTTCTCTCTAAAAAACTTTCTTAGATTTTATTTTCTTATTGCTTTTCCTTCCATTCTCTCATGGAAATGTGATATCTGGGATAGTGTAAGATTATTTATGTATATATACCCAAATTATCTTGTATATAAACACATATCTGTGTTTTATATACAAAGAAAATAGATGCCAGAAACTGGTGGCTCATATCCATAGATCTAGCTACTCAGAAGGCTGAGATCTAAGCATCTCAGTATGAAGGCAGCCTAGGCAGAAAAGTCTGAGGGACTTTCCTCCAATTAACCAGCAAAAAACCAGATTAGAGGAATGGTTCAAGTGGTAGAGCACCAGCCATGAGCAAGAAAGCCAAGCAAGAACATGAGGTCTTGAGTTCATGCTCTTGGTATTCATTCAGTGCACTGAACGATATTTAGCAGTGTCCCTGGCCTCAATCCATTTTGTGCCATTAGCACCATTCCCTCTGGGTCATCACTGTGGTGACGACCCAAATGTTTTTGGACATTGCAGGATGTCCCCTATCAGAAGGATGGAGGAGAGCTGGTTTAAATCCTGATGTTATTAAGCTCAAGCCAGGTGTTGATTATGGAGAACAAAGCCAGAAATACCCTGGGTCTTTGACAGCTGAAGATAAGTCAAATCATGGTGCATTTATATCTGGCATTTGCCCTTCTTACTACCTACCTTGGATAATTTGAGTAATAGGTAAAGAACACAGTGTTATTATAACTGGTATAAATATACACCATTTTGAGGAAAGAAGATGCTATGTATATTATGTAAACTTGGAGGGCTATCTACCAAAATGCTTACAATGGTTATCCGTTAGAAATAGCTTGAGATGTTGAAATGACACACAGGAATAGAGACTAATTAGGAACTCATTAAGGCAAGCTTTACTTTTTCAGAGCTATGGCCATTAGCCAAAAACCTGGCAAGTGAGCACACAGAGCAGGCAGGCTGCTCCCTTTTTTTTTTTTTTTGGGTCCGGTCATGGGGTCTGAACTCTGGGCCTGGGCGCTGTCCCTCAGCTCTTCAGCTCAAGGCTAGCGCTCTACCACTTGAGCCACAGCGCCACTTCCGGCTTTTTTCTTTTTGCTTATGTGGTGCTGAGGAATTGAACCCAGGGCCTAAGGCATGCAAGGCAAGCGCTCTACCACTGAGCCACCTTCCCAACCCAGGCTGCTCCCTTTTTATCCCTAACACGGCAGGCCCTGCCCCTCTGCTCACATCGGATGAGCTCAGGCTCACAATCTGCAAAAGGATGTGGCTTAATTAACAGTACATAAGTAAAATTCAAGGAGCTTCTAACAGAGTGTCCTATTTAAAGTACAGCAGGAAAAGGATGTATGTAACTAAAATACAACTAGTAAGGGCCAAGCCAAAACAGGGACCCTTCAGAAAAACAGTTCTCTCAAGATTAACAGAAAGCTAATTACTTTCATAAGTAAGTCACTTTTCTTACAAATGGAATTAGTGGGTGATTTTATTTTATTTTTTTCAGTTGTGGGGCTTGAACTCAGGGCCTGGGCAATGTCCCTGAACTTTTTTTACTCAAGGCTAGTGTTCTACCACTTTGACCCACAAGTAACCACATCTAGTTTTCTGGTGGTTAATTGGACTTTCCTGCCTGCTGGCTTTGGACTATGATCCTCAGATCTCAGACTCCTGAGTAGCTAGGATTACACCCATAAGCCACCAACACTGGCTGATGATTTTTGTTTGTTTGTTTTTTGTTTTTGGCCGGTCATAGGGCCTGAACTCTGGGCCTGGGCACTGTCGTTCACCTCTTCAGCTCAAGGCTAGCGCTCTACCACTCGAGCCATAGCACCACTTCTGGCTTTTTCTGCTTATGTGGTGTTGAGAATTGAACCCAGGACCTCATGAGTGCAAGGCAAGCACTCTACCACTGAGCCACCTTCCCAGCTCCTGATGATTTTTTTTCTAACATTTTCTTTTCCTTATATACCATGGAAAGGTATTATCTATGTAAGATCAAAGTATCTGTTATTACTGAAGAGAATATCATAATCTAAAGCTAATTTGGTGGTTCACTTGTCTGTCAGTAGGAAGGATTCATGGAGGGTCAATTTCCATGCTGAATTGCTTTTCTGGAAAAAAATGAGTTTTGGCCAGGTGCCAGTGGCTGACACCTGTATTCCTAGCTATTCAGGAGGCTGAGATCTGAGAATCGCAGTTCAAAGCCAGCCAGGGCAGGACAGACCGTGAGACTCTTATCTCCAACTAACCACCATAAAACCGGAAGTAGAGCTGTGGCTTAAGTGGTAGAGTGCTTGCCTTGAGCTGAAGAGCTGAAGGACAGCACCCAGGCCCAGAGTTCAAGCCTCACAACCAACCAAAAAAAAAAAAAAAAAAAGTTTTGATGTCTCAGCAGAGACTCTCCTGGCTTCCTGGGGATCATGAGGTCTTGTCATTTCAGCAAGTGTCAGGAATGTTTCCCAAAAAGTTTGCATCAGGCCAGGTACCAGTGGCTTGAACCTATAATCCTAGCTATTCAGGAGGCCTTGATCTGAGAATCTCCGTTTGAAGCCATGAGACTCTCATCTCCAGTTAACCAGCAAAAAGCTGGAAATGGAGTGGTGAGTCAAGTGGTAGAGTACCATCCTTGAGTGAAAAAACTAAGGACCAGCATCCAGGCATGAATTCAAGTTCAGTATTGGGGGGAAATAAAAAGAAAAGCTTTTATTAGAATGTCTACATGAGACTTACTGATTTCCCTCTTCCCTTTTTAAATTTGCAGGTTGAAAATGAGTATGGCTCCTACTTTGCCTGTGATTATGACTATTTGCGTTTCCTGCAAAACCGCTTCCTCTACTACTTGGGTAAAGATGTGCTACTGTTCACCACTGATGGAGCAAATGAAAAGTACCTGCAGTGTGGTACCCTACAGGGCCTCTACGCCACAGTGGACTTTGGAGCAGGTCAGTGTTTGTATAGTAACTAGAAAATGCAGCTTATAGCTGCGCACTAATGGTTCATATCTGTAATTCTAGATACTCAGGAGCTGAGATCTGAGGATTGTGGTCCAAAGCCAGCCTGGACAGGAAAGTCTTTGCGAATCTTATCTCTATAACCACCAGAAACCCAGAAGTGGCTCTGCAACTCAAAGTGGTAGAGCACTAGCCTTGAATGAAAAAGCTCAGGGTCAGTACCCAGGCCCTGAGTTCAAGCCCCACGACCAACCAAAAAAGAAAAAGAAAACGCAGCTTACACTTGGTCACTGTGGACAGCAGCTATGGTTTTAAGTGGCATGAGCAGATTCAGTGCGATCGCTCAGATTTTTTTTTATCAAGTGCGCTCATCTATTACTATAACAAAATACCTGGGACAGTCCACTTAAAAAGAGGGAAGATTCATTTTTGGCTCACACAGTTTTTTTTTTATTATTATTATCTTTAAGTAGTTGTACAAAGAAGTTCCCATTCTACAAAACAGTATATGAGTTACAAAGTGTCTGACAACATGGTCACCCTCTCCTAACCCATCCCTTCTCTCACTTGTTTTCTTTGAGATTAGGTGATTACCTAAATTTCACATATTTCACAGTATTGTAGAATAGTGATACTTAGTTAAAGTCACAAACACATTCCAACCCTCACAAGGCAAACTGTCGCCATCATGGTCCATACAGTTTGTGAATTCTATGAGCTTTGACAATACGAGTCATTTTTTCCACGTCAGGTGATGTTTACATTTCTTTCCTTTTGCTTAGTGTAGGCTGTTCCCACTTATTCTGTTCCTCCTCCTGGCTTCCCTTTGTGTGGCTCACACCGTTTTAAAGGTTTCAGTCCATAATTGTGCTGTAGCTTTTTGATTCAGGATATATTTAGCTTGGGAGTGAAAGAGGAGGAGGAGACCAGGCTCCCATAGTCCTCTTCAGAGACAGTGCCTCCAGTAACCTAACACCTTTTACTAGACCCCACAGGTTTGTGTGTGTGTATATGAGATTGTGACTATCCTGGGGCTTGAACTCCAGGCCTGATTGCTGTCCCTAGCTTTTTCACTCAAGACTGATGCTCTACCACTTGAACCACAGCCCTACTTGGAATTTTTTGAAGATAAAACTCTTGGCTGGCTTGGAACCTTGATCCTCAAACTCAGCCTCCTGAGTAGCTAGGCTTACAGGGGTGAACCACCAGTGCCCAGCTTAGGCCCGTATCTTAAAGCTTCCTCTGCCTACAAATAGCATCATGAACTTTTGGGGGATATTTAAGATCTAAACTGCAGCATCAATCAACAAGTAAAATGGAGTCATTGTACCCCTTATTTGCAGAAGGTTATCTTATGTCTACCTGTAGGAGGGGAGTTTCCAGTGTGTCTTGATGTCCACACAGGTGCGGCTAGCCTGGACTCTGGTGTATCTTCTCTCAGTGGCTGGGCTGTCTAGACAGGATGAAGAAGGGGCTGAGCAGTCCCAGGCAGACTTCACTGTCCCTCCTCCCCCCCTTCCCCCCTCCCCCCCCCCCCCCCCCCGCCTTCTCCTCTCTGCTTTCCTCTCCCATGTCCTGCCTTTCCATCCCCCCTCCATGTGCTCTCCCCCCAAGTACTCCTGAGTGCTCCCTTCCCCTCCCCTCCATCCCCCTCCTTCTCTCCCCTCCCCTCTCTAGCCCTTCCCTGCCCTCCTCTCCTTTCCTGTCCATTCTCTTCTCTCCTCCCATCTTCTGTCGTCCCTTTCCCTACTACTCAGCTTTCCCTGTCTCCCATCTTGGCAGGATTCTCAGGGCCATGTTGTAGCCTTAGCAAACTTTGAAGTCAGCCACTGACTGGTATTAATGGCCTGTGAGCTGAGCCCTGCTCTTAAGATATTTGTCAGGGGTGGACACTGGTGGCTCACGCTTATAACCCTGGCTACTCAGGAGGCAGAGATCTGAAGATCAAGGTTCGAAACCAGCCAGGATAGGAAAGTCTATGACAGACACTCTTATCTCCAATAAATAACAGAAAAAAGCTGGAGGTGGAGCTGTGGCCTCAGTGATAGAGTGCTAACCTTGAGCAAAAGAAGGACAGGGACAGTGCTCAGGCCCAGAGTTCAAGCCCCACGACTAAAAAAAAAAAAACCAAGATATTTGTCAGGTAAATATCTTTTTGCGTAACTCAGAGCTGCAGCATTTGCCAGATGCGAGGGCAGTTGTCCTGTCAGATGTAAGACTCAACAAATAAAATGTTCTGAATGGGCAGGCTGTGTGTGGTTTGAATGTTTTTGGCTGTTAAAAAAAGAGAGAGAGGACTGGGAAGGTGGCTCAGTGGTAGAGTGCTTACCTCGCATGCATGAGGCCCTTGGGTTTGATTCCTCAGCACCACATAAGTAGAAAAAAGCCTGAAGTGGTGCTGTGGCTCAAGTGGTAGAGTGCTAGCCTTGAGCTGAAGAGCTGAGGGGCAGCGCCCAGTCCCAGAGTTCAGCCCCTATGACCAACAAAAGAGAGAGGGGAGGGGGCTTGAGTTAACGGACCCTTTGTTTAGACTGAGAGCAGCATTTTTGAAGGATGTGACAAGGGCTCCTACACCGGACTTCATTTGTTTATTTATTTTGCCATTGAAGGGCATTATGGAGAAAGTTATAATCTTTTAAAGTTTGTAGGCTGTCATATTAGTGATTTGTGTGTATGTGGCACCGGAATTTGGACTTGGGGCTTCCTGCTTGCTAGGCAAATGTTCTACCACTGGAGTCATACTCCTAGTGTTTTTGCTTTTTGTGTGTGTGTGTACCAGTACTGGGCAAATGAGTTTAGGGCCTGGACTCGGTCCCTTAGCTTTTACACTCCAGGCTAGCGCTCTACCATTTGAGTCACAGCTCCACATCCAGCTTTTTTTGTGGTTAATTAGAAATAAGAATCTCGTGGACTTTCCTGCCCAAGCTACCTTGAACCAAGCTCTTCAGTTCTCAGCCTCTTGAGTAGCTAAATTATAGGCATAGCCATTGGCACCTTGTTCCTTTTGCTTTTAGTTTATCAAATAGTGTTCCCACTGACTTCTTCAGTTTGGCCTCTAATTTTAATCCTTCTGTCTTGGTCTTTGAGTAGCTGGGATTACAGAATGCATTACCACACCTGATTCCTATATTATACTTTGTAAAGAGTCTCCTGTCCTCAACACAAATTTAGAAGCAAAAGACCCTCATGGCTGATATAATTTTTACATGGCTTAGAAAAAAGTATGTAGAAAGTAGGGCTGATAAAATAAATGTGGCAGCCAGATGCTAGTGGCTCACTCCTGAGATCTGAGATTTGAGGATTGCAGTTCAAAGCCAGACTAGGCAAGAAAGGCCATGAGGCTCCTAGCTCCAATTAGTCACGTAAAAAAACAAAACAGAACAGAACAGAAGTCCTGGAGTGAAAAAGTTAAGGGACAGCACCCAGCCCCTGTGTTGAAGCCCCATGACTGTGCTAGTATGCACAAGGCCTCCCTGGATTCTACCCTTAGTATACCCCCCCAAAAAAAAGACCAGTTCTGCAAGTTGCATAAAGATTTTGCTGTACCTGGAGGGATAAGACACTCAGAACCCATTGCATCTCTCTGAAGGGACTGCAGAAGACAGAGTTTGAGAATTAGACAGAAATTTCTTGTGTGTGTGTGTACATACTCGCATGTGCCAGTACTGGCACCTGAACTCAGTGTCTGTGCTCTCTCCCTTGGCTTATTTCACTTAAGGCTGTTGCTCTACCATTTGAGCCACACCTTCACTTCCTGAAATTATGGTGTGTGTGTGTACACATGCATGAGTGTATGTCCTGGGGCTTGAACTCAGGGCCGGGGCACTGTCCCTAAGCTTTTTAGCTCAAGGCTAGAACTCTACCACTTGAGCCACAACTCTACTTCTGGCTTTTTTTGGTGGTTGTTTAGCAATTAAGAGTCTCACAGTCTTTCTTGCCCAGGCTGGCTTCTAACCCTGATCCTTGTATCTCTGCCTCCCAAGTAGCTAGGACTTACAGGTATGAGCCATCAGTGCTTGGCTTGAAATTACATTTTTGTGGAGATCCTTCCATAAAAGAGATGAGAAAAACTAACATGAAGTGATTTGAGTATTTCTAGAACCATCCATTGGTCAATGCTGGTGGTGACCTAGCTCATCTACCCAGCTGCAGATGAGTGGTGTGCCTGTTTCCTCCTGCATATCTCCTCTCACGGAGTGAAAAGGCTTAGCATACTTCTGTTGAGAGGCACAAACTGAAGCTGATTGTGAGTGTGACTATTGCTGATTGGAGGAAGAAAGAGGGTACTGTGGCATCCCGGTGCCTGGGGCAGTCATGCTCTGTCTGAGGTCATGCCAGCGTCACTTGTAAGAGGAGGAGGAGTCCTGCCCAATAAGGTGCAGTTAGATCTTGAGTGGATATTCTGAGTACCATGTATCAAGCTATCCAGTACTTAATACAAGAAACCCTACTAGGTATCTGTGGCTCATGCCTGAATCCTAGCTACAGACGAAGTGGAGATCCAGAAGATGACAGTTCAAAGCCAGCCCAAGCTGAGAAAAGTCTGCCTCATGACTCCATCTCCATTTAGCAAAATACCAGACCAGAGGCATGGCTCAAGTGATAGAACACAAGAAAGCAAGTCAAGTGAGTGAGACCCTGAATTCAAAGCCTGATACCAGGAGGAAGAAGAAGAAAAGAAGGAACAGAAGGAGGGAAGGAAAGAAGGAAGGAGAGAGAGACCAACAGAGACAGGGAAAAATGTGACTTTGTAGTAAATGCAGTTCTTCTGCTCCTTCACGATCAGCACTTTTTGTTGTCATTGGTGGTGGTGGTGGTCGTCATCATTGGGCTTGAACTCGGCCTGAGTGCTGTCCCTTAGCATTTCAGCTCAAGGCAAGTGCTCTCCCACTTGAACCACAGTACCACTTCCAGTTTTCTGGTGGTTCATTGGAGATAAGAGTCTCACTGACTTTCCTGCCTGGGCTGGCTTTGAATTGCCGTTCTCAGATCTCAGCCTCCTGAGTAGCTAGGATTACAGGCATGAGCCACTGGTGCCCAGCCTCCCTGAGCTTTTTTGCTCAAAGCTAGCACACACTCCACCACTTTGAGCAACAGTGCCACTTCCCATTTTCTGGTAGTTAATTGGAGGTAAGAGTCTCATGGACTTCCCTGTCTGGGCTGGCTTTAAACTGCAATCCTTAGATCTCAGCTTCCTGAGTAGCTAGGATTACAGGAATGAACTACCACCAGTGCCTAGCTCTCTTCCAACTTTTTGATTGTTAATTGGAGATAAGAGTCTCCACCTCTTAATACTGTCATATTGGGGCTGGGAAGGTGGCTCAGTGGTAGAGCGCTTGCCTTGCATGCCTAAGGCCCTGGGTTCAATTCCTCAGCACCACATAAATAAAAAGAAAAAAGCCCAAAGTGGCACTGTGGCTCAAGTGGTAGAGTGCTAGCCTTGAGCTGAAGAGCTGAGGGACAGTGCCCAGGCCCAGAGTTCAGGCCCCACGACCGGATTTTGAGTGGTTGGTACAATTTCACCCATAGCAGGGTATTAGCTCAAGTCCCATGGAGGCCCTTGTTGCTTAACTTCCTGCCACTCTGATAGCTGACCTTTCCTTTCCTCCTTTTACTTTTCAGACAGCAACGTCACAGAGGCTTTCCTATTCCAGAGGAATGTTGAGCCCCAAGGACCTTTGGTGAGAATTGGGATACGGGCTGGAGACTGTTGGTTTATGCCAACTCCATCACAGTTGCTGGTTCAAGAGAGACATAGTACATCCTTCATTTGTCTGGCTGCGGGATCAGCATATGGCATAGAAGGATGACATAACTTTCTGGACTCATAGATAACAGCAGAAACAACCCAGTGAATTGAAACCAAAGCCAGATTAACATGAGTGGACCAGGCAAATCCCACAAGTGGTCCTAGTGTCCCAATGTACAATGAGTCACAGGTGCATATATCACTTTGCACAGGCCAGGGGTGGCTAGGTTGTGATCTGGTTCAGATCTTTCTTCTTTCTTTCTTTTCTCCTCTTTCTTTCTCTCTCTCTCTCTCTCTCTCTCTTTCTTTCTTGTCATGGGGCTTGAGCTCAGGGTCTGGGCACTGTCTGAGCTTTTTCACTCAAGGTTAGTGCTCTATACTTTGAGCCACATGACCACTTCCACTTTTCTGGTGGTTAATGGGAGGTAAGAGTCTCACAGATTTTCTTGTGCAGGCTGGCTTTGAACCATGATCCTCAGATCTCAGCTTCCTGAGTAGCTAGGATTACAGGCATGAGCCATTGGTGCCCAGAAAGTTGTATGTATCTTTGAGAGCTCTTTGTGGTAGAACGTGTCCACTTTTCAAGTATTTATGAATTACTTAGGGATCTGATTAAAATATGCTGTTCACTCTGCCAAGTCTGAATGGAGCCGTGACGACTGCATTTTCAGGCAGCCAGGTGGTACTGGGGATGTAGCTTGTACACCACCCTGTAGTGGGCTTGCTGGCACATTGTGGAGCTACTGGGAAGAGGAGATTGTGGCAGGGGCCAGGCGGGTGTGAATGTTTTGAAGCCCTTCCCCCATTCTACCCCCTTTTTTTTTCTTTTGTGCTGGTTCTATACTGGGGCTCAAGGTCTTGAGCTCCTGTTTAGATTTTTCTCTCAAGGATGAAATAACACCTCCACTTCTGCCTTAAAAAAAAATATTGTGAGGTGGTATTTAGAGGGGTTACAGTTACATCAAGCAGGTATAGAGTACATTTCTTTGTTAACAATGTCTCCCCTTCCCTCGCTCTCTCTCGCTCCCAGTTTTCCCTTCCATCTCTGCCCATAAGTTGTATAGTTTGTTTTCAACATAGTTTCTAATGAGTAGCACTGCTGTATTTATCTACCTTCCATTTCTGTGCCCACCCCCCCTTACCTTCCCAAAGACAGCTAAACAAACAAAAGGATAAGAAAACAAAAAGAAAAAGAAAAAAATGCTCATTTCCATTTTCTGGATTTCATTGTGATAATTATTATTTTGTATGATCAGATGCATTTCTGGCTTTTTGTTGTTTAATTGGAAGGTAAGAGTATCACAGACTTTCCTGCCCCAGCTGGCTTTGACCGCAGTCATCAGATCTCAGCTTCCTGAATAGCTAGAATTATAGGCATGAGCCACTGGAGCTTAGCAGGCCCTTTCCTTCAGCGCGGTTGCTGTTATTCATTCAGCACCTGTGTGCAAGCCTTGTTTACAAACAGCCTTTTCTCATCCAGTCTTTGCTTTGTGAGCTGGGCTGAGCCCGTACACACAGATTTTGGGTGGAGCTATTTCCTGGAACCTGCATCATCCATGTTTCTCTCTCCCCACCCCCTCCCAGAACAATAGACGTTAAATTGTTTTTACCATTCCAGTAAGCAAATTGGACAAGGGGTCTTCATTCTATAAGTCAGCCTGAGATCTGAAAAATATGTGTTCAAACTAATGATGAATGGTATGAAAACAGCAATTTGGAGCTGACTTTGTGTGTGTGTGTGTGTGTGTGTGTGTGTGTGTGTGTGTGTGTGTGTGTGCGCGCGCGCGGGGGGGGGGTCTTCATTCTATAAGTCAGCCTGAGATCTGAAAAATATGTGTTCAAACTAATGATGAATGGTATGAAAACAGCAATTTGGTGACTTTGTGTGTGTGTGTGTGTGTGTGTGTGTGTGTGTGTGTATGTGTGTGTGCGCACGCGCGCCAATACTAGGGCTTGTTCAACTCAGGGCCTGGGCACTGTCCCTGAGCTGTTTTTGTTCAAGGCTAGCAACTCTACTACTTGAGCCATGGCACCACTTCCAGCTTTTTCTGTTTATGTGGTACTGAGGAATCCAGGACTTCCTGCCTGCAAGCACTCTACCACTAAGCCACATTCCCAGCCCTGGAACTGATTATTTTATAAAAATCTTGTACTCAAGCCGGGCGCCGGTGGCTCACGCCTGTAATCCTAGCTACTCAGGAGGCTGAGATCTGAGAATCGCAGTTCAAAGCCAGCCCGGGCAGGAAAGACCGTGAGACTCCTATCTCCAATAAACCACTAGAAAACCGGAAGTGGCGCTGTAGCTCAAGTGGTAGAGCGCTCGCCTTCAGCTGAAGAGCTGAGGGACAGCGCCCAGGCCCAGAGTTCAAGCCCCATGACCGACAAAAAAAAAAAAAAAAATCTTGTACTCAATCTTTTGCCCAAGTAAACTTTTCTACTGGGGAACTTCTACCAAAATCGATGTAGGTGAAATCTTTTAGGAATAAAGGTGTTGATTAAAATGGAAAAATTAAGTCTCCCAGGTATGGATAGAGCTTGATGGCTTACATTTTTAGCAAACAGCAAGATGGTATGGGGTAGGTGTTGCTGAGCACCCTGAGGTGGGCTTGCTAGCACCCTGCTCCTCCCAGTAATGAGCAACCCCTCAGTATCCACAGGCATTGGTTCCAGAACTTCTCAGGAAAAAATCAGTTGGTGCTCAAGACCATTATTAAAATGGAGCAGATATTTACATTTGACCTACAGGCATCCTCTAGTATACTTTAAATAATCTCCAGGAAACAAAATATCTATACCATGCCGGGCGCTGGTGGCTCACGCCTGTAATCCTAGCTACTCAGGAGGCTGAGATCTGAGGATCACAGTTCAAAGTCAGCCCGGGCAGGAGAGACCGTGAGACTCCTATCTCCAATAAACCACCAGAAAACCAGAAGTGGTGCGGTAGCTTAAGTGGTAGAGCGCTCGCTTTGAGCTGAAGAGCTGAGGGACAGCGCCCAGGCCCAGAGTTCAAGCCCCACGACCGACCAAAAAAAAAAAAAAAAATCTATACCATGTAAATGCTATGTGAATTTAGGTTTACTGTTTATGTTGTCTTCTTCTAAATTTTTAAATTTATCTTATAAACATTATTTTTAAAATTTTAACTTATTTTTTTAAAATCCGTAATTGTTTTTGCTGTTTATTTTTCCATCTCCTAAATTTCCTCATATTTTTTACCATTTATTTAGGGAAAAAATGATAAGAACAACCTGTACATGTGTGATACAGTTAAACTGTTGTTTTGTTTTGCTAGTACTGGGTTTAAACTCAGGGCTGTGTATTTGCTCATCTTGCTTGTTCAGCTGGTGCTCTGTCATGTGAGCCACACCTCCAGTCTGGCCTTTCTTTTTCTTTTGTGTGTGTATATGTGCTAGTACTGAAGCTTTAACTCAGGGCCTCACATTCTTGCTTGGTTTTTCTGTTTAAGGCTGGTTCTCTACCACATCAGCCATGGCTTCACTTCAGGTTTTTTGCTGGTTAATTGGAGGTAAAAGATATTCATGGACTTCTCTGCCTGGTATGATTTTGAACTGTGATCCTTAGGTCTCAGCCTCCCAAGAAGCTAGGATTATAGCTGTGAGCCAACAGAGCCCAATTTCCAGGTTTTTTTTTTTGTTTTTTTGTTGTTTGTTTTTGGTCAATTGTGGGGCTTGAACTCAGAGCTTGGGTGCTGTCCCTGAGCCTCTTTGTGCTCAAGGCTAGCTCTCTACCACATGTGCCACTACACTACGTCTGTTTTTTTATTTTATTTATTTATTTATTGTCGGTCGTGGGTCTTGAACTCTGGGCCTGGGCATTGTCCCTCAGCTCGTCAGCTCAAGGCAAGTGCTCTACTACTTGAGCCACAGCACCACTTCTGGTTTTTAAGTGGTTAATTGGAGATAAAAGTCTCACAGGAGGGCTGGGAATGTGGCTCAGTGGTAGAGCGCTTGCCTTGCATGCATGAGGCCCTGGGTTCCATTTCTCAGCACCACATAAGCAAAAAGAAAAAAAAAAAAGCCGGAAGTGGCGCTGTGGCTCAAGTGGTAGAGCACCAGCCTTGAGCTGAAGAGCTGAGGGACAGTGCCCAGGCCCAGAGTTCAGGCCCCACGACCGGATCCAAAAAAAAAAAAGTCTCACAGGACTTTTCTGCCTGGGCTAGCTTCAAACTGCAATCCTCAGATCTCACTCAACCTTCTGAGTAGCTAGGATTGCAAGTATGAGCCACTGCTGGAGATGGAATCTCTTCTTCCTGGACTGACCTTATACCTGAATCCTCCAGATCTCAGCCTCCTGAGTAGTTTAGGATTACATGCATGAGCCATTGACATCCAGCTTTCTCAAATAGTTTTGATCTATGTTTGATTTAATCTATGGATGAAGAGCCCATGAGTATGAGAACTGGCTGCACTTAAACTGTGAAGATGAGACCTCATGGCAAGTTGGCACCAACCCTTGGGTTAAACAGTGTAGGTCCATATGCCCTTTCTGCTGTCCCTTGATGGGGCAGAAGGGGCATTACAGGAGTGCCCAAGCATCCAGAAGTCATGAGTCTGTCCTAAGCTCCGTTTTCTGTTCTTGTGTGTGTGTGTGTGTATGTGCGTGTGTGCGTGCGTGCACGCTGCTACTGGCTTGAACTCAGGGCATTAAGTTTTTTCTTGGCTTTTTCATTCAAGACTGGTCCTTGAACACTTCAGCCACATGCTCTACTTCCTCTTTTCTCCTGTAGATCAACTCTGAATTCTATACTGGCTGGTTAGACCACTGGGGCCAGCCTCATTCCACAGTCAGTACGGCAACCGTGGTCTCCACTCTCACTAATATCCTTTCCCGAGGGGCAAGTGTGAATTTGTAAGTATTAGATATGGGGGGAGGGCTCCCCAGCAGTCTTGGCTTACAATGAAGTTCTTTGTGTTCTCTTATTTCCTTGTAGGTACATGTTTATAGGCGGGACCAATTTTGCCTATTGGAATGGTAAGAGCAATTTAATATCTGTTTGTAGAAGCTATGTATGTTTCTGGTGCTTGATTTGGGGAAGTATATCTATGAACAATTATTAGACCTATGAACAATTATTTTCTTTCTTTTTTTTTTCTTATTTTTTGGCGGTCGTGGGGCTTGAACTCTGGGCTTGGGCATTATCCCTGTGCTCTTCAGCTCAAGGCGAGCGCTCTACTACTTGGGCCACAGCACCACTTCTGGTTTTCTGGTGGTTTATTGGAGATAAGAGTCTCACAGCCTTTCCTGCCCAGGCTGGCTTTGAACTGCAATACTCAGATCTCAACCTCCTGAGTAGCTAGGATTACAGGCGTGAGCTACCGGCGCCCGGCTTTGAACAATTATGTTCTAAATTTGTCTTCTAACTTTTCTCATATATGAGAATTACCTATATGATTAATTTACTTTTGAGTGTCCATGGGTTATGTCCCTTTAGCTTTTTCATTCCAGGCTGGTTCTCTACACTTGAGCGACAGCTTTACTTTCAGTTTTTTTTGTGTATGCATTGGTCCTGGGGCTTGAACTCAGGACCTAGGCACTGTCCTTTAGCTTTCTTTTTTTTTGTCAGTCGTGGGGCCTGAACTCTGGGCCTGGGCGCTGTCCCTCAGCTCTTCAGCTCAAAGCTAGTGCTCTATCACTTGAGCCACAGAGCCACTTCCAGCTTTTTCTGCTGGTGGTGCGGAGGAATCAAACCCAGGGCTTCATGCATGCAAGGCTGCAAGGCAAGCACTCTACCACTGAGCCACCTTCCCAGCCCCTGTCCCTCAGCTTTTTGCTCAAGGCTGTCAACCACTAGAGCCACACCTCTGACTTTGGCTTTTTGGTGGTTAATTGGAGATGAGTCTCATGAAGTCTTCTAAGATCACTTTGAATCTCAATCCTTAGATCTCAGCCTTCTGGGAGCTAGAATTACAGCTGTGAACCACTGGTACCTGGCTCTGTTTACTTTATTTTGGGGCCAGTCCTGGCACTTAAACTCAAGGCCTGAGTGCTGTCCCTGAGCTTTTTTTTGGGTCCGGTCGTGGGGCCTGAACTCTGGGCTTGGGCGCTATCCCTCAGCTCTTCAGCTCAAGGCTAGCGCTCTACCACTTGAGCCACAGCGCCACTTCCAGCTTTTTTCTTTTTGCTTATGTGGTGCTGAGGAATTGAACTCAGGGCCTCATGCATGCAAGGCAAGCGCTCTACCACTGAGCCACCTTCCCAGCCCCTCCCTGAGCTTTTTTGCTCAAGGCTAGAGCACTCTACATGAGCTACAACTCCACTTCTAGCTTTTGGTGGTTAATTGGAGAGAAGAGTCACAGACTTTACTGGCTGGGTTGGCTTAGAACTGCAATCCTCATATCTCAGTCTCCTGAGTAGTTAAGATTATAGGCACTTAACTTCAATTTACTTTTTTTTTTTTTTTTGAATCAAGGAACATGTTGTAAGCATTGAAAAACCTTACAAATACCAAAGTATCTGGATGGGATTCACACAGACATAAACTTGACTGTGGATATTTGTGTTTTCTATCATGGTCCTGTTTTGTTGTTTTTCTTTTTCTTTTTCTTTTTTTTTTGATCAATCTTGGGGCTTGAACTCAGGGTCTAGGCACTCTCCCAAGCTTCTTTTGCTCAAGACTAACACTCTACCAGCTGAGCCACAGTGCCACTTCCATCCTTTTCTGTTTATGTGGTACTGAGGAATTGAACCCAGGGTTTCATGCATCCTAGGCATGTACTCTACCACTAAGCCACATTCCAAGTCCCCCTGGATTTTTTAAAATGAATTTTTTGTTGTTGGTTGTGGTCCTGGAGCTTGAACTCAGGGCCTGGGCCTGTCCCTGAGCCTCTCTATCCTCAAGGCTAGTGCTCTACCACTTGAACCACAGCACCACTTCTGGCTTTTTCTCTTTATGTGGAACTGAGGAATAGAACCTAGGACTTCACATGCTAGGCAGGCACTCTACCACTAAACCACATTCCCAGACCCTTGGTTTTTTTTTTTAATGCTTTGTTTGGCTGAGTTATGATTTGTTTATTTTGAGATATTATTTACTGTATGAAACACTGTATAATTATAATACTGTAAAATTAAAATTCAGTATTTAGTATATCCTCAAAGTTGTTTAACTATTATGTTAGTAATCTCATATCCTCCATGCCCATCCCTGTCAATGACCTGTCCTAAACATTCCATATAAATAAACCATGAAATATGTAGGTTTCCAATCTGAATTTTTTCATCTAGGGGCTGGGAAGGTGGCTCAGTGGTAGAGCGCTTGCCTTGCATGCATGAGGCCCTGGGTTCTGTTCCTCAGCACCAAATAAGCAGAAAAAGCCAGAAGTGGCCCTGTGGCTCAAGTGGTAGAGCGCTAGCCTTGAGCTGAAGAGCTGAGGGACAGCACCCAGGCCCAGAGTTCAGGCCCAATGACCAACAAAAACAAAACAAACTAAAAAATGAGGGGCTGGGAAGGTGGCTCAGTGGTAGAGCGCTTGCCTTGCATGCATGAGGCCCTGGGTTTGATTCCTCAGCACCACATAAGCAAAAAGAAAAAAGCCGGAAGTGGCACTGTGGCTCAAGTGGTAGAGTGCTAGCTTTGAGCTGAAGAGCTAAGGGACAGCGCCCAGGCCCAGAGTTCAGGCCCCACGACTGGACCAAAAAAAACCAAAAACTAAAAAATGAATTATTTCATCTAGCCTACTATTTCTTTGTTGTTCTTTTAGGGCCTTAGTTTTTTTGCTCAAGGTTGGCACTCTACCACTTGAGCCACAGCTCCATTTCCAACTTTTGCTGGTTAATTGGAGATAAGCATTGCTCAAGATCTGTCTACCTGGACTAGCTCTGAACTAGGATCCTTAGATCTCAACCTCTGAAATAGCTAGCATCACAGATGTGAGCCACTAGTGCCCAGCTAAACTAATATTCCTAAGGCTTGTCCATGTTGTAGAATGTGTTAGCACTTCAAACATGTCTATTACTAAATACTATCTTATGATGTGGTTATACAATATTTTGTTATCCATTCATTGGTTGATAGACGCGTGGGTTAATTTTACTCTGGGGCTTTGGTGAATGATGTTGTAGATGTAGGAATATAGGGGTCTGGATCTTTGCTTTTTTGGAGTTTGTAATAGGAGTGGAATTGTAGGGTTGTATGGTAACTCTGAGTTGTGATGTTTTCTAAAGTGATAGCACCACTTTACATTCTCATATATCGGGGGAGGATATGGACGATTATGACAAATTCCTCAGCATTTTTATTAATTTGCAAAGGCAGATGACGTGTTGTATATAATCATCATTCCCCACCTCTCAGCATCTGCATTTATCTCATTGAATTATTGATGATGCCAGAATGTTGTATTTTGGAAACTGTATGGGAGTGAATCTCTCAGGATCTAAAATTAGGTACTATCAACTATTAAGAAATGGAGTTTCAAGCCTGGTGCTGGTGGCTCATGCCTGTAATCCTAGCTACTCAGGAGGCTGAGATCTGAGGCTCATAGTCTGAAGCCAGCCTGGGAAGGAAAGTCCATGAGACTCTTTATCTCCAGTTAACCACCAGAAAACTAGAAGAAGCGCTGTGATTCAACTTGATAGAGTGCTAGTCTTGAGCAAAAGAGCTCAGGTACAGAGCCCATGCCCTGAGTTCAAACCCCATGACCAACCGCTCCGTTTTGTCTGCTATCTGTCTGGCACAGTGAGATAGGCTAGGAGAAGACCAGACTTACAAATGTTGCCAATGTCATTACTGTTGTCAGAGCAAAGCAGAAGATAGTAGAAAACCCTTCACTGCTTAAAAGACAGTCTTAAAAGTGTGCTGAAGCTAGGTACTCATGGCTATACTTTTATTTTATTTTATTTTATTTGTAGGTAGTGGGGCTTGAACTCTGGGCCTGAGCGCTTTCCCTCAGCTCTTGAGCTCAAGGCAAGCACTCTACCACTTGAGCTACAGCGCCACTTCTGGTTTTCTGGTGGTTTATTGGAGATAAGAGTTTCACAGACTTTCTTGCCCGGGCTGGCTTTGAACCGCGATCCTCATATCTCAGCCTCCTGAGTAGCTAGGATTACAGGCATGAGCCACCAGTGCCCTGCTATCATGGCTATACTTTTAATTCTGGTTACTCAGGATGCTGAGATCTAAGGTTATGGTTTGAAGCTAGTCAGTGAAGAAAAGTCCATGAGGTCTCAACTCCAGTTAACCACCAACAGCCCAAAGTAAAGGTGTGCTTCCATTGTAGAGTGTGAAAAATTCAAGTGAGAGTGCAAGGCCCTAAGTTTAAGCACCAGCCCTGGCATTCAGACAAAAAGTAGTGCACTGAGGTTGGCTATGGATGTGAGGCTTTCTGTGTGTCTATTTTACAATTAGATAGGGCTGATACCTTGTTCACTTAGCAGAGGGGCCCCCACCTAGCTCAGGTGCCAGTGATGGAACTAAGGCTAATTGGTTGAAGAAGAAAGACTGGGACATTATATAACTTTACAGTATGTGACATTATTTTTAGAAATCTTTTCTTTTTGTTGTTGTCGGTCATGGAGCTTGAACTCTGGGCCTGGGCACTGACCCTGAGCTCTTCAGCTCAAGGCAAGTGTTCTACCACTTGAGCCACAGCACCATTTCTGGTTTTCTGGTGGTTAATTGGAGGTAAGAATCTCATGGACTTTCCTGTCTGGGCTGGCTTTGAACTTCAATCCTCAGATCTCAGTCTCCTGGGTAGTTAGGATTACAGGCGTGAGCCACCAGCACCTGGCTTAAAAATCTTATGGCAAAGCTGATGGCTTATGCCTATGATCCTAGCTACCTGGGAGGTTGAGATCTGAGGATCATGGTTCAAAGGTATCCCACATAGACAAATCTGAGAGACTTTGTTCTCTGCTTAACCAGCAAAATGCCAGAAGTGGAGGTATGACTCAACTGGTAGAGCATCAGCTGTGAATGGAAAAGCTGAGGGAAAGCAAGAGGTCCTGAGTTCAAGCCCAGGTCTGCCATCCCTCCCTCCCCCACTAATGTTACTGTTTAGTACATTCTTTTTAGAGAAGAAATTTGGACAAAATAAAACTATCACTCAGCGACACACTGGGGGCTCACACCTGTAATTCAGGAGGCTGAGATCTGAGAATCGGTGTTTAAAGCCAACCCTGAGACTTCATCTCCAATTCACAATGGGCAATAAAAGCCAAACTGGAGGTGTTGCTCACATGATAGAGTGCCAGTTCTGAGTACAAAACAAACAAACAAACACAAATAAGCAAGAGTACAAGGTCCTGAGTTCAAACCTTAGTACTCACACCAAAAACAAAACAAAACCCATCACTTAGGAAGCACAGTCTGTCTTCACACAGCTCCTTTTCCTCCTGACTCTACTGCGAATCCATCAGCCCTCTTTCTGCTCTATTTTCAATTACTTCTCATATCAGACTCAGATGAGCTAGGGAAGGTCAACAGCAATTGATAGATAAGAGTATCTGGATGCACAAATACCCACATGTTTCTTGGCATAGGGTAGAACCTGGATTCAAGCTTAGGTCTCAGTTAACCAGTCCCACTGCCCTTTGCAGTCCCTGAGCCAGCCCCCGAACCAGCCCTGCTGCATTCTCTGGCCTGTCTGTCCTCCATCTGCCGTTTTTGTCCCCATATCCCATGTCTCTGCGTGTCCACATGTGTGTGACAGCTGCCTGGGAGACCCAGGCTGTCTCCACAGTATGGAGAATTGAGGAGCATGATATCTCCCCCTTTCTACTGCCTTCCTGCTTCTCATCCTCCTGAACATGGACTATTTCCCTGCCCTGGGCTGGTCTGGAGGCATCCACAGGAAGAAGTGGTAGAACTAGATGAAAGCTTTGGTCTCCCTGCCACCTGCTTCCCAACCTGATAAGGCTGAGGCCTGATGGGTTTGTTTCCAAAGCCTCACTGTTCCACTCAAAGGTGACACCACTTGCTGAGCCTGCACTGTACTTGGCGTGACTGAAGTGCTGAGGCGCAGTCAGTTCTTGGAGGCGAGCAGGTTCAGTGCAGAGCAAGACCTGAGTGAGAACCTTCCCCGCCCAGCCCAGCCACACAAGGTAGAAGCGGAGCCACAAAGAAGGTGAGCTCCCGGAGGGAGGATGTGGTTTTATGTTTCTTGATGTCTCACATGAAGGGATGTGTTTTAACCTGTGCTTCCCCTAAGGCGGGCAGACCTGTTGGCTATGACCTTGTTAAGAAGAAAAGGGAGAAGATTAGTTGGTTGAGGGAGACAGGTCTTTGAAGATAGGGATTCTATGCAGAGAACTTTGACCCCTACCCCCTTAAAAAAACCCCACTTTTGCCTTGATCCTTAGTCTCCCTCACTCATTACCTCCACCAATGGTAGAATCACCCTGCCCATCATTTGTAAACTGTCTTAAGGAATTTCCTGCTAATATTGGGGTGAACTGTCACTTTTCTTTTTTTTGGTCGGTCGTGGGGCCTGAACTCTGGGCCTGGGCGCTGTCCCTCAGCTCTTCAGCTCAAGGCTAGTGCTCTACCACTTGAGCCACAGCGCCACTTCCAGCTCTTTTCTTTTTGCTTATGTGGTGCTGAGGAATCGAACCCAGGGCCTCATGCATGCAAGGCAAGCGCTCTACCATTGAGCCACCTTCCCAGCCCTGCTGAGGGATCTTTTGAAGTACAAGAGAAAGGTACAAAAACCTTCTGGTTCCAAGCTGGCCTTACCCAGGAGGGTACCATGACCCAGGATCCTGTTAAGAATGCAGTCTCAAGCTGGGTATGGTGTGACCCATACCTCCAATCACCCTAGTTACTCAGGAGGTGCTCAGATAAGAAAAATTGTGGTTCCAGTCCACTCTAGACAAAAAGCTTCCAAAATTCTATCTCAGCCAATACAAAGCTGGGTGCCATCTGGTTCTCTCTGCTGAATCAAGATCTCTGGAGGTGGGCCTTAGAAACTGTGGGGTTATGAGCCAGTGGCACCAGTGGCACACGCCAGAAATCCTAGCTACTCAGGAGGCTGAGAGCTGAGGATTGCAGTTTGAAGCTAGCCCTGGCAGGAAAGTCTATGAGACTCTTATCTCTAATAAACTACTTAGAAAATGCCAGAAGTGGTGCTGTGACTCAAGTGGTAAGTGCTAGGCTTGAGTAAAAAGAAGCTCAGGGACGGTGCCCAGGCCCTGAGTTCAAGCCCCAGGACTGGCAAGAAAAAAATAAAAATAGAAATTGTGGGGGGTCTCTTTCTTCCCTTCTTCCTTCCTTCCTCCCCTTTTTCTTTCTCCCTCTCTTCTCCCTTCCTTCCTTCCTTCCTTCCTTCTTTCCTTCCTTCCTTCCTTCCTTCTCTTTCTTGCCCTCCCTTCCTCCCTCCCTTCCTTTCTTCTTCTCCCTCTCTCTCTCTTTCTCTTCTCCCCCTTTCTTTCTTTTTTTTTTTTTGTTTCTTTCTCTCTTTCCTTGTACTGGAGATTAGGACAGGACCTTACACTGAAGTATATCCCCAGATCAAAAGTTGTATCTTAACAGTCTCTCCATGTGACTCTTCTCAAGGATCTATCTGTAGGGATCTATCTTCTCAAGCTTTCTATCTGTAAACATCAGAATCAAGACCTAGTCACAGAGGATGCCTGTGCTCTAGACTCTTGGACAATGCTAGCCTTTTTGTAGGCAAGGCATTGATGCCCTTCATTTTTTTTTTTTTCTGTTTTTTTGTGCGTGTGTGTGTGTGTGTGTGTGTGTGTGTGTGTGTGTGTTAGATGGGTTAGGTTTCTTGGGAAACACAAGTCCAGGATGACTGTGCCCTTGGGCTGCCCTCAGGACTACATCTGTAAGATAGCATGGGTGGAAAGGTTTGCAGAGTTGGGTTGTAATGCCATTTTATGAATGGCTTTGGCCCACTGGAGGGAATTCTGAAGCCAGGATTGCCCTTTGAGGCAATTGGCTGTGTGTATGTCACTGTCCTGATCAGCTTTGGATGCAAGCTATCCCTAGGGGCTTGTAACCCAGGGGAAGGCAATTGAGCAGAGGCCACGCCCACGAGCGTCACATTTGAGAAGTGTGGGTAGCCATGCCCTGGCATTAAGATAGTGACTGTGCCTTTGTCCTGAAGAGGGGAGCCAAGAACACACACCAGCTGCCTCCTTTGTATCTGCAGATCCAAAGGCCTGCCTGTCTGCAGTCATTTCCCACGTTACTTTGTCTACTTACCTCTCGGGTTGAAGACATGAAAAAAAGACCCTGGATTAGAGGTTAATAGGGACATTTTGTCATATGCCCTGCCATGACTGGTCCTGAGATGCTAACAGATTTTGGGTGGGGGAAGGAAGATCCAGGTACCTTGCTTATCCCCCAGGAGGAGATTATCTGTTAGAATGACAGCTAGGAGCTTCCAGAGAGTTGGGGGAGGGGGAAGGAGGGATAGAAAGTCTGCTGTGGGGACTCTAGGGTACTTGATACACCTGTAGGAACAAATTTACCTCTATAAAGAGTACTTCTGTGAGCTGGGCACTGCTGGCTTACACCTGTAATCCTAGCTCTCTGAGATCTGAAGATCGCAGTTCAAAGCCTGCCAGGCCAGAAAAGTCCCTGTTTGACTCTTATCTCCCAATTAGCTACCAGAAAACTGGAAGTGGAGCTGTGTCTCAAAGTGGTAGAGCACTAGCCTTGAGCAAAAAAAAAAAAAAAAAGTATTTCAGTGTCTTTTAGCAGTTGACTTAACGTGTCCTTTATTTATCTTCTCCAAGATCCTGAGGTCATGGGTCCCCCAGGAACTTGCCCCACCCAATTCAGGCCTTTCTGGAGTAACTAGTGGCATGGCTTTTGTCTCGCAGGGGCCAACACACCCTATGCAGCACAGCCCACCAGCTACGACTATGATGCCCCACTGACCGAGGCCGGGGACCTCACCGGGAAGTATTTTGCTATTCGCAAGGTAATCCAGAAGGTGAGTGCTTCAAAAGGGTGGTGGTGCTTTGAGCTCATTGTGCTCTAGATGACTTCCTGCCTGGAGCCTGCATGTTTAAAAGAGTAGGTGACAAGAAATTACCGCTTGAGTGTCCTTAACACCAACTAGGGGTAAGACTGAGCAAGTTACTCTACTGATGGTGTAAAACTGAGATGATCACACCTGATTAGGAGAGGGCCAAAAAGGACCTTTTAACGCCATCCAGGACCACCTGTTCATACTGAGATGTCCAACAGGTGGTAGCCATTCCCATTGCTTATACTAAAGGCAAGAAAATGTGTGTCCCCTTAAGTAGCTGAAATATTTAGGGCGAAAAAAAGGAACACAGCACCAGCAGAGAGAAGCAATACTCCAGTATTCTACCTGGGGGAAGTGATTGTCAGATCCTTCTGGCCTGCTCTAAACTGCTTAGTCCTGCTAGCAGCATAACCTCTTCAGCTACCTAAAGCACCCAGGTGGGGTTTCCTGTCTCTGCGGTGGAGGAAAAACAAAACAAAACAAAAGAACACCACAGTTTTTCTGCTCAGTCACCTGAGTTTTGAAGTTACACACACACACACACACACACACACACACACACTTTTCTGTCTATAAACGGTCTGGGTTTTTTAAATATAATGTAGTATCAGTTTTAAGCATGGGTTTAAATTCTGTGTTAAGAAGCACTTTAAACAGAGAAAAATGCAATCTAGAATTTGTTCATTTTGTCTAAATCTTCACTTGCAGTTGTGTTGTGACTGGTGCTAATCTTTTATTATGGGTTCAGTCTGGGAAATAAAAGTGATTATCTCCCAAGCTTTCTCTTGTATTTGTTCTCTGTTTCAAAGCTCTCCCGTCCTGCCTTTATATTTCTTTCTTTTATGTGAAGCATAGGTTTTTTGATCCAGCCTTCTCCTTGTCTAGTACATATACAAAGTTGCGCATTTTGCTGCAGTCATAATATGCAATGTACGTTTGTGAAAATGAAACTGGGTAAATTGAGGGGATGGGTGAGGCTGGGAGAAATCAAGCTGCATTGTACTCAGAAACTGACATTTTGAATAGAAGTTCCTTTGTATAACTACTTAAAGATGATTTAAAAAAGAAGAAAGGGACTAGGAATGTGGCTCAGTGGTAGAACAGTGGTAGAATGCTTGCCTAGTATGCATGAAGCCCCAGGTTTGATTCCTCGGTACCACATAAACAGAAAAAGCTGGAAGTGGTGGTGTGGCTCAAGTGGTAGAACACTGGCCTTGAGCACAGAGAGGCTCAGAGACAGTGGCCAGGCCCTGAGTTCAGCCCCAGGATTGGCAAAAAATAAAAATAAAAAAATAAATTAATAAAAAAGAAGAAAGAGCCAGGCACCTGTAATCCTCACACTGTAATCCTTAGCTACTCAGGAGGCTGAGATACAAGGATTGAGGTTCAAAGCAAGCCCAGGTAGAAAAGTCCATGAGACTCTTATCTCCAATTAACCATCAAAAAACCAGAAGTGGTGCTGTGGCTCCAGTGGTAGAACGCTAGCTTTGAGCTGAAGAGCTGAGGGACAGTGCCCTGGCCCAAAGTTCAAGCCCCATGACAGACCAAAAAGAAGAAGAAGAGGGAAGAGGAGGAGGAGGAGGAGGAAAGAAGGAAAGAAGGAAGGAACGAAGGAAAAAGGAAGAAGAGCTGGGTGCTGGTGGCTCACGCCTATAATCTTGGTTGCTCAGTAGGCTGAAATCTGAGGATCAAGTTCAAAACTAACCCAAGCAGGAAAATCCATGAGACTCTTATCTCCAATTAGCCACCTGAAAACCAGAAGTAGAGCTGTGGCTCAAAGTGGTAGAGTAATAGCCTTGGGCAAAAGAGCTCAAGGACAGCACCAAGGTCCTGAGATCAAGACTCACGACTGACAAAAAAAAAAAAAAGAAAGAAAGAAAAACTCAGAGTTAATACATTCTCTTCCAGTACCACTATAGGTCTGTCTCCTTTATTTATATGTTTATTTATGTAATATATATATATAATGATTATATAATTATTTGCTTTTGTTTTATATTAATTTTATTGTCAAGGTAATATACAGAGGGGTTACAGTTACATAAGTATGGTAGTGATTACATTCTCTTTTTTTTTTTTCTTGGTCGGTCGTGGGGCTTGAACTCTGGGCCTGGGCGCTGTCCCTCAGCTCTTCAGCTCAAGGCGAGTGCTCTACCACTTGAGCTACAGCGCCACTTCCGGTTTTCTGGTGGTTTATTGGAGATAGGAGTCTCACGATCTCTCCTGCCCGGGCTGGCTTTGAACCGTGATCCTCAGATCTCAGCCTCCTGAGTAGCTAGGATTACAGGCGTGAGCCACCAGCGCCCGGCTAGTGATTACATTCTTATCTAACTTGTTATACCTTCCCCCATTTTTCTTCCTCCCTCCTTCCCTCCCTAATCTCCCCCACCCCAAGCTGTACAGATCATTTCCAACATATTGTCTTGTGAGTATTGCATAATTATTTGCTTTTGAAATTGAACCTTGAAATGTTCAGAAATGTGGGTGGTGTAGGGCTTTTCTTATTTTTCTTTTTGTTTGCATTTGAGATAGGGTCTCACTGTATTGCCCAGGTTGGTCATAAACTCCTAAACTCAAGAGATTTTCCTATCTCAGCCTTCTGAGTAGATGGAGCTATAAGCGCCAGCTACTAGGCCCAGCCCATTACTACTAATTAATGCTAATTAAGCATTAGTATTTTCCTAGTTCTCTTGACTTGTAGCATATTTGTATTCTGATTAGAGAATGTTTTCTGAATGAAGCCCTTTAAATTCATTGAGCCTTGTCTCTGAGCCCACCATATGCCAGGATTAATAGATCATCATGTAATTGAAAATAATGTATATGGGCTGGGGAAGCTGTTCAGTGGTAGAGTGCTTGCCTTGCATGCATGAGGCCCTGGGTTCAATTCCTCAGCACCACATAAGCAGAAAAAGCCAGAAGTGGAGCTGTGGCTCAAGTGGTAGAGCACTAGCCTTGAGCTGAATTGCTGAGGGACATTGCCCAGGCCCAGAGTTCAGGCCCCATGACCAACCAAAAAAGAAAAGAAAGAAAGAAAGAAAGAAAGAAAGAAAGGAAGAAAGAGAAAGAAAGAAGATAATGTGTATTTTATAGTTGGGTGTGATATTCTATGTACTTGTTTGTTAGATTAAGCTTATCAATGTGGGGGCTGGGAAGGTGGCTCAGTGGTAGAGTGCTTGCCTTGCATTCATGAGGCCCTGGGTTCAATTCCTCAGCACCACATAAGCAGAAAAAGCTGGAAGTGGTTCTGTGGCTCAAGTGGTAGAGCGCTAACCTTGAGCTGAAGAGTTCAGGGACAGAGCCCAGGCCCAGAGTTCAGGCTCCATGACAGACAGGAAAAAAAAAGCTTATCAATGGTTCCATTGACATCTTTGATGTGCTTTTATTTATTCTATCATTCTTTAATAAATACATAATATCTTTAGGTTACTTTATTAGGTTTATGCAAACTGAGAATTAAACTCCCCAGTCTCATGATACAGTCTTCAAACTTTAGTAATATTTTAGCTCTATAGGATTTTTTTTGGTTATTAATAATTTAATCTATGAACATAATGCCCTTGAAGTAGTTTTTGTGATTGAATTTGGGATGAATTGTAATGTCTTAGAGGCTATGCTGTTTACTGGGTGGCAGCAGGGGTGGGGTTGGGGAGGAAGAGTGCCAAGAGAAGGCTATCTCGGGCCTGTTTTGTTGGTCTAGACTTGGTTTTGTATGTGTATTTTAGTTAATATTATCAAGTATTAAGGGTTAAGTCTTAATGCTAAAAGTAAAAAGTAGAAAATAATCCCTATAGAAATGTCCTTCTGTTAGTTTTTAGGAAAAACTGTCTCCTAGGAGTGAATTATCTCAGCGTGTCTGGAGAGATGGTGAGGGGGAAGAGGAAGGTGGGGGAAGGGCTCTGTTAGCATCGCCACATCTAGAAGATGTGCGTTTTTGGTAAAATACTTACATTGTACACAAAGCTCTCATTATTTCAGAACATCTAATCTTTATAGATATCCTGAGATAATGTATGGTAAAAAGTAGAAGTAGTGAATTAAATAACTTGTAAATACCTGTTACAATCAGCAGATCCATCTTGGATGGATTGTGCCACCTCTGGGCAATGAAGTCAGGACTTACTTAGAGGCTGGCAGCAGAGGGTAGGAATAGGAAGCCTGCAGGGAGAGAGATGTGTGCAGGTGTGCTCAGAATTTTACTTTGATTAGAACCATTGATGTATATGGTTCTGGTTGTCCCCTAGGTATACATATATTTAGTAGAAACATTCTTGCTAATATTTTAATAGTATGCTATAAGCCTACTAATGAGTTTAGAAATTGCTTAGTATATCTTGCTTTATGTCTCTTTAAATTGAGCATAAAGGAAATTCAGTATTTTAATTGTAACTCTGCCAATACTTCTGTCTAGAAGCCTGTTGCTGTTTTTGTCTTCAGTGAAATTTTTATCCCTAAGAAAAGCAGGAATGCATTTTTTTTAACCAAACAGATTGAGTTTGTGTAGTTTATTCTTGGTTATCAAAATATTCATGTAGCTTTGGGATTTTGAATTGGTGAATTTGTAACATTTGGAAAAGCATGACACAAACCATAGATCTGTTACCTAAAAAGGGATTGGTGTATGTACATGGAGGATCTAGACAGTCATGTCCACCTGAACTGCTTGTGGCAGTAATACTTTGCACTTTGCGAATATGTTTTCTGTAACTCACATGTTAAATAAAGGTTATTTAAAAAAAAATAATTTAATCTATGTTATTAATATGGCTTACTGTATTCTTTTTGTTTGTGGTGTTTATGGGGCTTGAACTCAGGGCCTGAATACTGTCCCTGAGCTCTTTTGCTCAAGTCTAGTGCTCTATCACTTTGAGCCATAGCTCCACTTCTGGTTTTCTGGTAGTTGATTGGAGATAAGAGTCTCACAGGGACTTTTCTACCTGGACTGGCTTTGAACTGCGATC